GTGATTTTCAGCAGGTGTACCGACCTTTGGTGTTTGGTTCCTAACCTGTACAGTAAAGGACTGTATACTGGGTGTTTCTGCGCTTCAGTGTACATGTTACACTTGGGACCTTGCTCAAGTGCAGCTTCTGATTGGGTGAAAGATGCAGGCTCTACATTTCCGTCATATTGCTAGGTCTTCTCTTGCTCTTTGTAGCAATATTTGAGGAGCCTGTAGATTTCTCAACTCTATAGTTCCATGACCCTGGATGGTGACCTCTAACTCTCTGGCCCAACTCCCTCCCTAATTCCCTGTCTTTTCTTTTTCCCACCCTCCCATCCCTAGCAACCATTATGGCTCCTAGGAATAAGCAATGTTAGCATGTGCGTTTAGTGAGGCAGTGGCCTCTTTTCTGTGCTCATCTTTCTTCAAAAGTCTGCTTTTTCCATCGCTGGAGGCTCAGATCTGTAATCCTAGCTACTCAGGGAAGCAGAACTCAGGAAGATCACTATTGTAGGCTAGCCTAGGCAAGTAGTTCATGATAGTCTAGCTTGAAAATATCCAACACCAAAAAGGGCTGGTGGAGTGGCTCAAGTGGAAGAGCCCCTGCCTAGCAAGCATGAGGCCCTGAGTTCAAACCCCAATACCACCAAAAAAAGAAGAGCCGGCTTTTCACACTTCCTCCTGGAGGGCTCAGTGGTCCAGAGCAGCTGCTCCCCTCTTTCTACCTTTGGCCGACCTTATTTTCTTATGTAGCTTCTACTCCTTGGTGTGTTTCCTTTGAACACCAGGCATGATCACAGGGGATGGTGCATGTCCCACTCAACCCACCACGTTCTTGTGTGGCATTGAGTAGCATTGGATGGACTCAGCAGATCGACTTCTATGTGTGAAATTGGAAAGTTCATTTAGTTAAGCAAGCCGACTACACCTCACATCAAAATTTTTATTATTCTTTCTTCATGAAGAAATATAGTATGGTGGGTCCTTGGCAAGCATCCTATTCCTTAAATAAAAGTAACTCAGAAAGGTAAGTTGTTTTAAAAAGATGTACCTTTTGATTTCAACACACTCAACCATATTCTTAGCACAACCACTGAGGATTTACTTCAACTGTGGTTAATGAAATAACCTTACTGTGTGGCAGGGATGTCTTGTGGGGCCTTACATGGATGCCACTTTGGGGTCCTTAAGAGAAAGACTTTGAAATTTTGGATACAAACACTTGCAGACTCTCTGAGTGGGGCCTGTGCATGTGACAGGGCCAGTCCTGGGATGCTCAGTATTTTGAACAAACTCCAGGTTCTGGAACTTTGAGGTACCACAAGATGGCAGTGTAGCATCAATCGTAGAAAGCTGATAGCTACTTGCCCTTAAGATTTGTTTAAAGCCTCAGCACAAAGTTTGCGAGACACTTGAAATTGCATCCTGTGTTCTAAAACAGAATCTCTTTCTGTCATTTTCTTTTGGCAAGACAATCTGACTTCCTTCCCTCAAACTTTGAAGTATTACAGACAAGACTGTCGGTGTAGGGCAGGAAACCAATGCAACGTGGTTTGCACCTTTAACTTTCTTATGGTTCTGTCCCCTTCTGTTTTACGGTACTTTCAAATTGGCTTTGTTACAAAGCCGAAGAAAAGCTTTCCATGTAACATCTCCCACCAGTGATTGGCTTTACTCACGCTTTTGTAACCGTGTTAGTTTATTCACACGGCTTATCTAGCCATACGGCAAGCGCATCCCCCACATCCCCCAATATACAAGATTTTAAAAAATTAACACTTGCTTCATATAATAATTAAGGATACACCTATAGAGCACAAAGGGGTGTCGTGGCACAGAATTCATTCATCTAATGCAAATGGGACTATAACCTCTCTCCTTACATTCCCATCTCTAAAATCACTTTTGGGGCTCTTGAGCCACCTTGCCAGAGTCTACTGCTGTCCCTCCAAGTGCACCCTCGTGCCCTTTCCCTTTCCATGAAACTCTGCTGCTGCTTTGCAAAACCATAAAACACAATCACTTTGGGGTTTTGGATTCCGTTAATTGACAGCATTTGGGTCTGAGTGACTCTTGATGGAAAGACTAAGAATCAGCGCTTCTATTTTCACATTAGTTTCTAAAACCAGTCTCTGGTGATTATAGGTCAGGGCTTTTTCTCAAAGTTGTCAGAATGTGAATAGGTTTTCTGGTTTGGTGTACAACCTTGCTTAGATCGAGCACTTACAGCCATCACCTAAAAAAAATCACAAAACACGGCATTTGCAAGGATCTATTGAAGAGTGAATAAGGTAAAAAGCTTCAAAGTTGGACAATTTCTCTGTGTCATATAAATGGAAATGTGTCAAAGATGAGAATGTGACTACATTAGAAAACCAATATGCCAACTAGTGACTTTGAACTTTGGGCCATCCGTCATGTGTGGTAAAGAACTAACTGTACTTTGTGTAAAGGTGGTGGCTGGTTTATGCATGCCACAGCACACTAGTCACCTCAGTTGGATGCAGGCCACTAATCTTACCTATGTTACAAGAGTAATTCTTTCATAAATAAAAGTGCCATTAAGGTGAAGATTTTATAATGCTTGATATAGTAAGTATTCTTATTGCATATCTAATTTTAAGACTCCAGTTAATATCAAGAATGACTGGAAAGGATTTGCAAAATTTTACTACCATGAAACCTTATAAACTTCTTCCATGAGAGGTTTTGTCCTATTAATTAAAAAAAAATTAACCACCAAAGAGTCCAGTTAGGAAAAGTAAAGACAACAAACATCTAAGGAAGCACACAAATCCCCGCCCACCCCACGATGATTGATGCCCTGTCATTAGCAGGCTAGCTGCCCATTTCTTATCTTGATTGACAGGTTAATAAGGGACCCGGGGCTATCTTTTCAGTATGCACACACAACCTTACCAATTACTTTTAAATTATTGCTAATCTGCCAGAAAAATAACAAGCATAAGGAAGAAAAATATCTGAAAAAGAAATGTCTGCAGAAGAAGCTTTTACTTCCGGTGCTTTTAGAGGTTCAGTTCAGAAAACTTGCCAGAATTTCGTCAATAGAATTTAGGCATTGGGGAATTTTTTTTTTAAAGAAAAACTTGTAGTTTATAATAGTTCATTGGTTCAATTAGGAGCGAAAAAGAAGGGAGTTTTGTAATGCAATTGTCCAGCAAAGGAAAACGCTTTAAATTGGGGATTATGTGCGCAGACCACCTGTAGGGCATTCAAAGCCCTTTTCTATCATGCTTCAACCCATGCCTAGCTGCCTGCAGGCTGGCTAACAATGCCGGGAAAAGCTGTTGAAAAGGCTGAGCGCACTTGTGCCTCTGGTCTTCACTAACTGTTACAAGTCTTCCTCTCCCTCGTTCTCTTGCCTTTTTAAAGTAAAAGTCCCACATTCCTTTAATGGAAGAACTTTAAGGCTCCACGGTGGCCAATTGGTCCGCACCAAGAGGAGCCAGGCAGCAGGGAAAGAAACTTCAGACTATACAGCACATTTGGAGAGGAGAAAAGATCAAAGTTTTTCAAACTCAAAAGACCAAGTTCCCTACAGATTAACCCTATTCATTTAGCTCCTCTTAAAGGAATGGTGTGCCCAGCCACTGGGCAGACAGGTAAAAAGTTCGACAATTGCCAAAGCAGTCTTCTCCTAATTCAACAGCCTTCTGCTCAAATAAATTAGCTTAGTCTTGACAGAGGAACAATAGCTTTTTTCTCTAGGAAAAGAAGCACATTTGGTATACACAAGCACAGAAGGTTATTAAGATGTTAACCCGTTAGTTTAATCTATTGAAGAGCTTCTGCTCCACCACCAGATTGTCAAGTGACTTACAGTGCAAAAAAGTGATCTATAGTTTAAAATATGAACTCCCACACTTCAGCAGGTTGTGTACAGTCCCTGGAAAACCAGGTGCTTTCAAAATCACTGACGCAAGATGTGAATGAAGGGTTTTGAAACCTTTAGTGATATTATACAAGAGAAATAGCAAGGCCTCAGTGGAATTACTGCCTTTGCAAAAGTGCTATTTACATACACTAAGGTGACTTGTTACCCACCGACCAGAAAAGAGCTACCATTAGAAACGCCATTTTGGGGGAAGGTGCAAAAACTCAAATTTTGATTTCAGTTCAACAAGGATATTTACTTCGCTAACAGTTTAAGAACTAGAGGTGAACAGGTAATCTTCTCCATGCCTGAAGTCAGTGTACAGAATGGCAAACCAGAAAGCGTCCATTTTTTCCCCACGTGTCCTTAGCAAGTACTGTCAAGTTAACAGCTTAGAAGAGGCAGGGGGAGAGGGGGATCTTTAAATCATTTATCAAAAGTCATTTTATTGACAAAATAGAATACTTATATTTGTTCTTACAGGGGTAGCCTCTAAACTTTTTACAAAAAAATGTACACGTTGTATATCTTTGGATATATACATATCTTACACATTTTTACAATTTAACAAATAATTATATAAATACATCCTCTAATGTAAGAAACCCGTATTTACTTGGGGTGTATAATTAAGACATTTCTTGTTTATTTAAGGCATTTGCCTGGTCATTAAGAATACCCAAACCGTGCAATCCCAGTAGGTCGCGGTCATCCCTCCTCTAGGTTATACTAGGAGTAAGAGTTTACGTAGGAGAGTCGAGGGAGAAAAAGAGGTCCCTCGGGTGAAATCTGTAGATGTGGCTTCAGAGCTCAGTATAGGGCAACCAGCGAGGGCTCCAAACCTTAGGTTCTGGAAAGGCTGCAGTCCACCCAGCTCGGCCAAGTGAAGTTAATGCCTGGCGGGAGGAGCTCCTGGAATTTCAATGGAGGAAAGGGGGCTGGGTCTGGAAGGCATCAATGCCAGGTACTTTGTTCTAAGCGAGTCGTTTAAGTCCCAGCTAATGGATACCATTAAGAGTTCATTATCATGCTAATAGCAATCAACACTGTGAAGGGGTGGGAACCCCAGCCCATGAAGTGTCCCTTCGCCGCACTTGGTCTTCTCACCCTCCCCCCACACACCCTCCGCCCCTTCTGGGCGTCCCTCCCCTAGGCTCACACCTGGGACAATGGCATCTGCTTTGGATAAGACACGGAGCTGGCCGTGCCAGACCGCCACGTCAGGCCGGTGCTGACGTCGCTGTAGAGGGAGCCCCCGCCGCCCCCCGGACCCGCGCCGGGCCCAGCACTGCCACCGCCCCCGGGCCCGCTGCCGCCCCCCGCGGCCACAGCGCCCGCACCCCCACCCACCGCAGCGCCCTTGCTGGCCCAGCAGCAGCGGGTGCACAGGGCACGCCAGGACTCCAGCGTCTTGCCTGACCAGACCCACACGCCCGAAGTGATGCCCACCACGAGGCACATGAAGTACTTGAGCATGAAGACGGCATAGTCGGGCCTGCGCGCCTGGTCGGGCTGCAGGTCCCGCAGGCACGGGCAGTTGTGCGTGGCCTCCCAGCGCGGCCGGTTGTGCTGCTCATAGAAGAGGCAGGCGACCACGACGGCGGCGGGGACAGTGTAGAGCACGGTGAAGAGGCCCAGGCGGATCATGAGCTTCTCCAGCTTGTGCGTTTTGGTGGGGCCACCCTGCTGCTTGATAACCGAGCGGATGCGAAAGAGCGACACGAAGCCCGCCAGCAGAAACATGGTGCCGATGAAGAGGTAGATGACAAGCGGTGCCAACACGAAGCCGCGCAGGTTGTCGAGGCTCTGGTTGCCTACATAGCAGATGCCCGCCACTGGGTCACCGTCCACCGAGCTGAGCGCCAACACCGCGATGGACTTGACGCTGGGCACCAGCCACGCGGCCAGGTGGAAGTACTGGGAGTAACCCGCAATGGCTTCGTTGCCCCACTTCATGCCAGCCGCCAGGAACCATGTGAGCGACAGGATCACCCACCAGATGGAGCTGGCCATGCCGAAGAAGTAGACGAGCAGGAAGACCACGGTGCACAGCGCGGGGCCGGTGGTCTCGTAGCGCACGTGCTGCTCCACTGCGCCCAGCTCCTCGTACTCGCCGCGCCCTCCCGGGCCGCTCGCTCCCGCGCCCGCCGCGCCCGCGCTCGCTGCTGCCGCCGCGCCGCCCGCGCCCCCTGCGCCGCCCGCGCCCGGCGCGCCGCCGCTGCAAGCCACCTTCTCGTGACCCGCCACCAGGCGCACCAGGTAGCCGACCGACACGAAGAGGTAGCAGGCAGAGAGGAAGATGATAGGCCGTTCCGGGTACTTGAAACGCTCCATGTCGATGAGGAAGGTGGAGACAGTGGCGAAGGTGGACACGAAGCACAGCACCGACCACAGGCCGATCCAGAAAACAGTGAAGGCGCGCTCGTCCTGGCTGAAGAAGGGATTGTGGCAGGGCAGCGCGCAGTTGGCTATCTGGCCTGTCTTGACGCGGTTGTAGAGCGGGTGTCGCTCGCTGGACACGCTCACCATGGGCGCGCGGCACTGGCACCCTGGTTCGCAGGGAGCCGCGCCACCGCCAGGGGGCCTAGCCTTCACGCCGCCGCCGCGCGCTGGGGGCGCCGCCGCGTCCCCGCCGCCACCGCCCCTGCCGCCGCTGCCGCGATGCGGGGGCCTGGCCCCCGGCGGGCGGCCGTGGCCGTTGCCGGAAGGTGGCTGCTCGCCAGGTGGCGGCGGCGGCAGGCGGCGCGGCGGGCTGGGTGCGGCCGTGGTGAGGTCGGTGCGGTTGTAGTCCATACACAGCGTGTCAGGGTTGCCCTGCTCCGGCAGCCGGTCGCAGCGCATGCGGTCCGGCCAGGCGAAACCGTACTGGCGCATGAGCGGCGCGCAGCCGGCCTTGGCGCGCTCGCACACCGAGCGGCAGGGCGGCAGTGGCTTCTTGTAGTCTTCCAGGCAGATGGGCGTGTACATGCTGCACAGAAAGAACTTGAGATCGGGGGAGCACTGGATCTCCACCAGCGGCCAGAACTGGTGCACCTCCAGGCCCGCCTCGTCCTGCGTGTCGTGGTTGAACTGGTTGGGCATGTAGGTGTAGTTGTAGCCAATGCCCTTGCACAGCGGCACGGTGATCTCTTGGCACGCCAGTTCCTTGGCCGAGGCGGCCGCTGCGCCGCTCGAGCGCTGCAGCAGCGCCAAGGCGGCCAGCAGCGAGGTCACTTCCAACAGGTAACCCCACTCCATGCTGCGCGCCTCGGCCCCGCGCCCTCGGCCTCCAGGCGGCGCGCGGTGGGGTCCCGGGGGATCCAGCAATTAAACCGGGGAAGAGAGCGGATGACCTGCAGGCCGCCTCCTGCCTCTCCCTGGGGAATGTGTGTGTAGGGTGACTGCCAATAATCTGGCCCCTTTTCGGGGCGCGTCTGCAGCGCCGCGATCAGAAGCCTGGGCAGGGGTCGTCCGCACCTCCTTTCCGCCGCTCCCGGGAGATGAAGGTGGCTGCAGACGCGCGCCACAGTCACAGGGGGTCTGCCCTGCTCACTCTGGGTCTCACTCAGCCCTCGTGGAGGAAGGTGGTGGGCCCTTGGTTCATCGTCCCGCACTCGCTTGCTTCCTTTCCTGCTCGCGCAGCCACTTCTCCGCGTGGCGCCCAGCAGCGATGACTTTGTCCGGCACGGAGGGCGGCGCTCAGCAAGTTTCCTTTCGGGCCGCGGTGCGCAGTCAAGATGGCTGGGCCAGGCTGCTAGTGCTGGGTCAGCCCTTTCGGCCCCTTTTCGGCCCCTGAGAGTTCATGCCCGCCCCCAAAGCCGCGCGGCCACTGTGGGAGTTCGGGATCCCCCTTGCCGAGGCCGTTGCCCTCCTTTTTCAGGAGTCCGTCCGTCCGTCCGCTGCCGGGACAGACGGACCCACCTCCAGTAAAAGTCCGCGCCGCACTCTGGCCCTAATCGGGAGAGATGCAGGCAGCTCCTTTCTCGCTAGACGCTCAGAAGCAAATCCAGACCAAAAGGCGGAGCTGACACCTGAGCGGCGCGGCTGGCGCCCAGCCGCCACCTCCTCCTCCTCTGCAGGAGCAGCGCCCTTAGCCCAACTTCCCGGCTCCAGCCCAGCTAACGCCGCGCGGCCGGCTCATGAATATTTATACAGCCTGGACTTGGTCTCCGCCTCCCTTCGGGCACACCAATCACCGGGTGCTGGGGCGGAGCCTACGCTCTCCCAAGGCTCAGCCTTCCTTAAGGAAGTCTGTAGTGTCCCGTCGGCGGTCTGCCTTTTTGGCTGATGGAGAGTTTTGGTAACCTTGGAATTGACCGCAGTGACCGGAGCCTTTGCCCCCTCCTCTCCCCATGGTGCGCAGTGTCTGAGAGCTTGGTCCCATTTTCACGAGTCTGCACTTGAGGCCTGGGACATAGTTTTTGTAGTGTGCGCCCCCCGGGCACGTTTTAAATCAGTCAAGACCCTGCCCGCTAACCCCTCCACAAATGTGGCTGACCTACTGGAGATGGGGTCCTCGCATCTCCCTGCGTGCCAGGGCAGCGTGGAAGCCACGCAGTAGGCGAGTGGTCGAGGACCTGTCCAGACCCGGAGCTGTGGGAGACCCGGAGCTGTGGGAGACCCGGGGAGGTAGGTCCCCTGGGATTCTCAGAACGATGTGCTTTGAGCCTTGCGGGGGCGGGGGGGGGGGCGAATGGAGCTACCTCAGGTTATTTGGTGGAGTTGGACCGGGGGCGGCTGGGTGCTCCGAAGTCCTGCCAACAGCGCGCAAGAGGTGCTTTGCACACGTGCCCACTTGGGACTCCCCGCTGTGTGATCTGGGGAACCTCAGTTTCCTTACCGAGAAAGTGAGGTGATCACAGAACAGATGCCATAGAAGAGTTTGATAATTGGGTAAGATAAAAGTACAAAAACATCAGGACACAGTGATTCTTCACATGTAAAAAAAAATTCCACCTCTCCTTTAAAAAAAAACCAAAAACTTATAAAAAGAGCAGACTGGAAACTGCTGCCGCAGTCTATTCGGTTCGTGCTCTTAGGACACACATTCAGCTATCCAAAGCTCACGTTTTTGCCAGCGCCTCCTTTTCTGCTGGGGGAGGCGGGCCTGCGCCCTGGCGGGGACGCGCGGACACGCATCTGCGTTCTGCACGGAGCAACCGTTTGGGACGCTGCCAACCAGCGCCGCCCCCGCCAGCTCCGCCTGGTCCACCTTAAGAAGGCGGGAGGGAGGGGGTGGCAAGGGGCCGGCGGCCTGGCAGGTTCATTTACGCTTGTTAGGACGTCCCAGGGGGTTGTCTTTCTCCTAGAATGGAGTGTTTATTTTTTAATTGATGTGCTGTTTCATTTAGCGCTTGTATGGAACTCATGCTGGGGCTGTAATTACTGTAATCTCGGGAACAAGCATTTCAGTTAGCCAGGAGGGTGGCAGAATCTCTCTCTCTCTCTCTCTCTCTCTCTCTCTCTCTCTCTCTCTCTCTCTCTCTCTCTCTCTCTCTCTCTCCTCTCTCTCTCCTCTCTCTTCTCTCTTTCCCTTCTCCCGCCTCTTTTCCCTTCCCTCCTTTCCTCTCTTTCTCTTTTTGTTTCAGTATTTTTACTCTTTGTCGGGTTTCATCCCGGGAACAAGTAGAACTAGAGAACAAAAGTTTTTTTTTCCGGTCCGGGTGTGGGGGGGAATTGGAGGTTATCTTTTTAAAAACAACTTTTGTGACAAAACCGAGTTAACTAGCAGTATTTGTCTATTTCTCGTGCTAATGGAATCTCGGTCTTCCTTCTTTTTTTTCTAGCTTAGTGTAGTACTCTCATTAGCAACGCCGTAAATAGACAGGCAGAACACTTCCCTTCCCGTTTTTGGCAAGGTCGGTGTTTTCGCCCTTCTAGTCATGTCCTCCAGGTTACTAGTTACACCCACCATCCTTTTTTAATTAAAAAATTTTTTAGTCTAGTTAGAACCTTTTTATGCTGAAAGCAACACTTCCTCCCCACTTTTGTTTGGGAAAAACACTAGACGCCATAGGAATCAGAACTCCAAAGCGTCAGTAACATGAGCTGATTCAGCAGAAAATGGACTATTGAAAACGCAGACTCGACCTTTATTTTTGTTGTGTTTTGATCGATTCTTTTCCCCACTCCCCTCAATAATCGAATTCCCACATGTGAGTGTTGAGTGTAGAAAACCACCTATGTCTTCAGTTGGGACCTTGCTCAGAACATTCAGCTTCAGGTCAGAGTTCTGATCTGAGCTCTGGCTAAGGCAAAGCTCGGTGAACCAGGAGCACTGGCGCTGGGGACCGGACCGCAGAGACCGCAGGTGGGAGGAGCTAAGTTTCCAAAAGCAACACAGATGGCGAAAGTTTCTACTGCTTTCCTTCAGCAGGAAAATGTCAACTAGTGAAGTTTAGAATTACACTATATAAATTTACTAGAATTAGGTAAAAACAAGCTGACATTTGAAAATCGAGGGTGAAAATAGTTGATTTTGGTTCTTCATTGGCATTAACATTTTTTTCTTTTGAGACAAAATGAAAAGTTTGACGATGTGGAATATGGAAAATCTTGGTAAGTACATTAAGCTTGCATGAAAAAAAAAAAACAAGCAAACTAAAGCCCAGACTTTCAAAAATTATAGGCTGTTTGGAGGCTATTACTTATTTGTGACTTTAAACCACTTATGTAAATATCATGAAAAGTTTACTTTTAACTGAGAGAATGTAACAATACCACTGTACATTTACTATTAAATTAAACAGCTACTTACCCTTTCAGAGTAGAAGAGAGAATTAATGATGCCAGGTACTTTATGAAAAGCAATGTCAGGTCAACTAAAAGAAACCAGTGATAATTTCTTTGTATGCAAAGCAGCTACATTTTAGGAAAGTGGAAATAGATTTAGTAGTATCATAAATAATGTAGAAAAATTGAAGAGATTTCTGAGCAGAGGTCTGATTGGACTTGAATGCTCTATAAGAACAGTAACATAAACAGTTTGGACAACAATTCTTCCTGGTGTCTTTGGTAGTCTGTCATTGGGAGATCCTTGTCACTGTCCCCTCACTTCCCTCAGTGCCTCAGACACAAGTCCTCCACAGGCATGAGTGTGTCTATATCCACATTGGCCAGGTTGGTGTCCAAATGGGCAATACTTTCTGGGAGCTCTGTTGTCTGGAACTTGGCATCCAGCCCGAGGCCAGATGCCAAGTGACAAGACCATTGGGGAGGAGATGACTCCTTCAACACCGTCTTCACTGAGATAGCACTGGCAAGCATGTGCACATGGCAGTTTATAAACCTGGGACCCAAGGTCATTGGTGACGTTCACACTGGCACCAACTGCTAGCTTTTCTACCCTGAGCTGCTGATCACTGGCAAGGAAGATGCTGCCAATGACTGTGCCTGTGGACACTATGCCATTGGCAAGGAGATGATTTGCCTCCTCTTGGACTGAATTAGCAATGGCTAAGGTCAAGTTGAAGCTGGAGTTCTCCATTTACCTGGCATCCCTGTCCCCCCCACCATCTGTGACATCCTTGATATTGAACACCCAACCCACACTAACCTTGCTTTGAGCCAGCCAACCAGATGGTGAAATGTGACCCTTGCTGTGGTAAATTCATGACTTATTGCCTATTGTACTGGGGTGATGTGACTCCCAGAGATGTCACTGCTGCCTTTGCTACCATCAAGACCAAGTGTACCATCCAGTTTATGGATTGGTGCCACACTGGCTTCAAGGTTGGCATTAATTAGCAGCCTCCTACGGTGATACCTGGTGGAGATGTGGCCAAGGTACAGTGAGTGGTGTGATTGCTGAGCACCAGGCCACATTGCTGAGGCCTGGGCTTATCTGAACCACAGGTATGATCTGACGCACACCCGCGTGCCTTTGTTCACTGGAATGTGGGTGAAGTGTTGGAGGAAGAGTTTTCTGATGCACCCAGGACATGGGTGCCCTTGAGAAAGATTCTGAGGAGGCTGGAGCAGACAGTGCTGATGGAAAGGGCGAGGACAGAGTGCCAACCTGTTACATTGTTACTTCCATTGTCTTGGGATTGTTTTATTTCTGTTCTGTGGAACTGTCTGTTTTAACCTTGAACTGTCAATAAAAGTGATGTTTCCTTTTAAAAACAGTTGTGATAGTCAGCTTTCCATTATTACAACAAATATCTTTGACAGCTTCTAAACAGAAAAAGTTCATTTGGCTCACAATTTTGAAGGTTTTAGTTAATGGTCTTTTGGTCCCATGCTTTTGGACCTGTGGGGAAATGCATGGCTAGGCAAAGCTGCTTACCCCAAGGCTGGACTGCAGAAAAGAGATGAAAGACTGGGGTCCCCCAATCCCCTTTAAGGGCACACCACCAATGACCTGAA